AAGGAACTGAACCTGCCGACCCCGTGATCTTGAACTTGTGGCCTCCAGAACCAGGAGAGAATGAATTTCTGTTATTTTAAGCCACCCAGCTTGCGGTACCTTGTTCCGGCAGCCCCAGGACACTAACATACCCTCCCAAGAGGCTGCAGCTCTGAAAATGGTTTGGACGTAGGTTTGTCTTCTCAGAACCTCAGTCTCCTCTTCTCTGCTGGTGTGGCTGCCTGCTTCCCAGCATACCTCTCCCCGTCTCTCTCTTCTTCTGCCACATCTAACAGAACCGGAACTCCAAGAAGCAAACGAAAGTCAAGCTCCCAAAACAGAGGGTCACGGCCTCTATCGAAAAATGTGGTCTTGCCTCCACAAGTGCCTTCCGGAACATTCTTTCCTAAGATTCCAAACTACCAGGCCATCGCCCGAATGCCGCTCACCACACATTCCTGAAAGATGAGTCTGATGTGGGCAGGCAACGGGTAATTATACCTCTATATCCCAAGTGTTATTGTAAGAATCTTGCTAAGTCACCTCAAGAGCCTTGCAAAAGCATTTATTTCTTAGTGGTAACCAAATAATGGGCGCTTTGAAACAAGCTGCTTTCACGAAGATACTGGAGCCAACTGAACATTGAGATTAACTGAGAACACACTGGAACAGTCAGAAAGCAGGAGAGGAGGGGAACAGCAGGACAAAGCAGAACGGCGTCCCCTCTGCTGCGGGCAGAACTGGGGGGCTCTTCTTCCCTACAGCGCTCCACCCCAGAGCCCCAATGTCAAGTTCCGTCTGGTGGGGCCCAGCCCCCGCAGCAGTATACACACCAACCAAAAAAATGCTTAGCAATACAAAGAGACACCCCTACATAGTCACAGCGCTGAAACCAAACCCCAAACAGAAATTTCCAGCAGCTGGTAGAAGCCAAGTGGAAAACCAGCTGAGGGCGAGAGATAAGGCTGCAGGAGGCACTCGGTCTCCCCGGAGACCCAGAGACGGACAGGGGCAGGACACCGCTCCAGACACAAGGCTCCTGCTTGACGGCAGCAAAGATGTGACGGGGCAGCAGGGGGCAGGACACCAGTCCAGACACAAGGCTCCTGCTTGATGGCAGCGAAGATGCGACGGGACCTGCTGCCCGGGAGGGAGAAAGGGGTGGACCCACAGGACGGACACGAAGGCGGGGAGAGCAGAGGCCTGGGGGCCAGACAGTCCCTGTTTAATTGGCATTTAGGGTTTTTTTGTGTGTGTGTGTGTGTGTGAGGAAGATTAGCCCTGAACTAAAATCTCTTGCCAACCCACTTCTTTTTTGCTGAGGAAGATTGGCCCTGGGCTAACAGCCTTGCCCATCCTCCTCTATTTCATATGTGGGACACCACCACAGCATGGCTTGATAAGTGGTGTGTAGGTCCGTGCCCAGGATCTGAACCTGCGAACCCTGGCCCACGGAAGCGGAGCACGCAAACTTAACGGCGATGCCACCAACAGGGCTGGCCCCCATTTAGGATTTTAATGCGTCTGTTGGCACAAACTGAATCTCATCTTTATTGATTCATCAAGAGACGGTAAGTAATTCTAGAAAAAGACCAGGGAGAAAAGGCTGTTTTGGAAACATCTGTTGTTACAGCGAGTAGATACGCTCTTGTCTTCTCTCCGTAGGCCGACCCTCTCCGCAGCCTAAGATAAGCAGGTCATTTCATCCTCCGCACCTACAAAGATGAAGACACTGCGGGTTTGCGCCTCAGCATCCTGCCACCAGCCCCATGGCCACGACGCGGAGGGGCCCAGCTCTGTTCCGTGAGTCCCTGCCTGGTTTTCTGGCGTGGTCCCTGGTTTCCTCACCTGATCTTTAGTAAATTATTAAAATATCACCAATATCATCTTCTGCCTCCTCCTTGACTGCAGTGGGGACTAAATGGGGAGACGGCACGGCACACAGAAAGAACACGGGCTTTGGAGTCAGAGCTAAGTGTGGCCGCCTGCTCTGGCTGTGTGCTCTTGGACAAGCTACTCAACCTCTCTGTGCCTCCGCTTCTATCACCTGCAGCAGGAGGACAGTAAAATCTGCCTGCCAGGTGAGCACCCAGTAGGCACTCAAAAGATTATAGTTCCTCTTCTTTGTCTTCCCTGGAGAATGAAGACGGGTTGGCCACAGCACTGGTGTCCCCAAACAGCCATGGGCCAGGGACTCAAAGGAACTCAGTCTCCTACAAACCAGATTCTCTGAATTTCCACTTGGAGGCGTTGGTGTTTATTCAAAACCAATGTCACCACACCTTCACCTTCGATGACCTCTTCCTCTTTAATCAATGAGGTCACTCCGTTCAAGCTTGAAACTCCTCAGATGGGCAAGACACTTAACTTCTTGGTGCCTCCATTTTCTCAGCTATAAAATGGGGATACTGATACTATCTCCCTGTTCCAAGTGTGTGACAATCTGCTCATGCACGCCAGCGCTCAGTGAGGCCCAGCACACAGCTCTCCGCAAGTCAGGGTCCCCCAGTCTCGGCACCATCAACATTCTGGGCGGGATCATTCTGTTGGGGGGGTCGCCCTGTGCACTGCAGGATGTTTACCAGCATCCCTGGCCTCTGCCCACTGGAAGCCTCCCTCAGACAACCCAGAATGTCCCCTGGGGGCAAAATCGTCCCTCAGTGCGGACTATTGTGGATGTGGTTATTCAGTCCGAGCCACTGGCTGGTGTGCTGCCCCCTGGTCTCCCTAGCTCCCTTCCCTTCCACATCCTGGTCTTCAGCTGGCACAGGCCTCCCAGTCTCCACCTCACCGCCACGCCCTGCACACCTGTGCCCCAAAGGGCTCCTGCTTCTCAACCCTGGATGCTGCTCACAACCACCTGGGGAGGGTTTTATGCAATTCGGATCCCAACCCAGAGATTCATCAATACTTTTTAAAAGCTTCCACGTCATTCTAATATGCAGATGGGACAGAGAATCACTGCCCAGCCTGGACCCACTCACCCACCAACCAAAAATCTACAACAGTCCTTCCATCGAGAACCCAGATCCCATTCTCTTAGGCTCAGCTGCAAATGGTGGTCCGAGGTGTTTCCCTGCCTGGCCTCCTCCAGGCTCAACCAAACTCTCTCTACCTGTTAGGACTTGGCCCTTCTCCAAGGCTCCAAGTCCCCTACTATCAGCACGGCCTCATTACTTGGAATAAACCCTCTTGTTCAACCCCCAAGATACCACGTGCTTCATCCCCACCACCTTGCACCCAACCTCCCCAACTTCAGCAGTCCTCGTGATCGGCGCTGCCCGCATCAGCCTGACCTCTGACCAGCTCACAAGGCCCCTTCTGTCGAAAACCCAAACACGGCACACTCAGCCGGGCATGCTGCTCACCTTGCCTGGAAGGTTCTCTCTGCCTCGCTAAGCCTGGCCAAACCCATTTACCCTTCCACCAACTCTCCCTGCACTGCTCTGCTGTCCCCCAACCCCGACCCCATCGCAAAGCCAGTTCTGGGAGTTCACACAAAGCCCGTTCTGGGAGTTCACACAAGCTCCCGAGTCAACACCCCCACCGCACTAAACTGGAGGTGAAGTTCTCTTGTAGAAATGCACCAGGCACACACAGAAGAGCTCTGGAAATGATCAGTCCTCCAAAGGCCGCAGACTTGCAACGCCCAGGTGCTGTGAGCTCTGTTAATCAACGGGGAACTTTGTCCTAAAGAACGTTTTGATCTTGAAGAGATCAGTGTGTGTCTTGACAGATAAGTGACCCCCGGAGCCCACACAGTGAGCTCGAGCAGCCCGATGTGGCCTCAGGGATTCCAGGAGCTTTGCATGGCCTGGAAGGCCTTCGACCCCAAATCCTGGTGTGGTTATTGCTGTGCGCAGAGGAGCCCCACCATCCTGCCTGCAGGACAGATCCAGCCAAGCTTCGCTGGGCGTGAGTCTGAACTGAACTAGACAGCAAAAATACACAGCCAAGCAAACACTTGGGAAAACTCTGTATCGTGAGAGCCCCAGTAGCACACAACGTTTTATTTTTAGAAGCAGAACACATTCTTCAAAGGAAGCGTTTGCAGAAACCCCAAGCAGAAACTAGGTAAATACGAAGCAGCTCTGCTTGAAGGGTTGAACAGGAGGCCTGGAATGGGTCGGGGGAGGGGCCACATACCACCCATTTGCCCACCTGCTGCCCCTGCCTGGTGCCACCCACTCCTACCCCAGATGGAGGAATCATTTAGGATCTACCTGATTGGAAGTATAAAGCAGAACCACCACTTTGGAACACTTCACATGCACCAGACGCAGCAATTCCACCCCTAGGCACACATACCCAAGAGAAAAGGGGGTGGACGTCCACAGCAAGGCTTGTATAAGGATGTTTGTACTGATTTTATCCATAATAGCCCCAAACTGGAAACGACCCTAATGTCCACCACCAGGAGGATGGATAAACAAATGGCACATTCATACGATACTGATACGAAATCCTCATCCACACAACAACGTGGGGGAATCCCACAGGCGTATGTTGAACGAAGAAGCCAAACACAAGAGAGCACGTATCATGTAAGATGTGCATCAATGGGCCACACGGCCCTCTAGAAATCAGAATAGTGGTCGAGGGGAGAAGGCGGGGTGGGCCGGGAAGGGGCCCAGAGTGTTCTTGGGTGATGGGAACACAGCCTGACGGGGGTGTGGGTTATGCAGGAGTGAGCATGTGTCAAAACTCATGAACTTAGATCTATGCGTGATGTACGTAAGGACGATAATAACAACATGCGTATCTTGTAGTACACACGAAACAACCAGAGCAGAAATGTGGAGATTCTGCCCAAATTCAGAGAGCTGCTCACGCAGAGCTGGGCTGAGATGCCAGGTCTCTGGGGGCCAGCCTGAGGCTCTTTCAGAGGGAAATAAATGCCCCTGTGGCACCTCCACGGACTGGAGGGTATTCTTGCACCAGACGGAACCATCTGGAATCACCTGCAGCTGAGGCCACCACAAGCCTGGCTCTGACATGCCCACATGTCCCAGGGCACTCAGTCACCAGCTTCCCTCCCAGTTAAGGTTGAGGGGACAAGGCTTCTCAACCACGCAGACGAAGGCTCACCTGACCACCCCATCACCCCCCACACTGCCCACTGCCTGAGTCCCTGGGGGCCACGGCTGTGCTGTCCGGTGCCTCCCCACGGTGGCCCGGCTCCCGGCTCAGCGAGGCTGGAACACAGATGGATGTGTTAGTTCCCAGGGCTGCTGTAACAAATCACCACAGACATGGCTTAAAACAAAGAAACCATTCTCTCCCATTCTGGATGCTAGAAGTCTGAACACAAGGTCTCAGCAGGGCCATGCTCTCTCAGAGGCTCTAGGGAAGAATGTGCTCCAGGCCCCTCTCGGCTTGTGGTGTCACGGGCAATGCTTGTCCTTCCTTGGCTTCTCGACGCGCCGATCTCTGCCTTCGTCATCACATGGCCTTCTTCCCTCTGGGTCTTCACGTGGCCGTCTTCTTAGGACATTAGTCATGGGATTAGGGTCCACTCTGCTCCAGCACGACCTCCTCTTAACTAAACCAATTACATCCTCAAAGACCCTATTTCCAAATAAGGTCATATTCTGAGATTCTCGGTAGACATAACTTTTTGGGGACACTACTGCACCTTGTACATCGAGGAACAAAGGAGACAAGGTAGGGGTAGGAAGCTGGATGAGAGAGAGGCTGCAGGCTGGCTCCCCGCCAGAGCAGCCCCATGGGCACTTTGGCGCAGCCAGCCAGGCACACAGATCACTGGTCGTAGAAGCACAGACCTCTTTACTAGTGAAGTTGGTCACACGCCCCATCAGACACAAGAGGCGTAAACACATTTTGGAGCTTTCTTTACGTAAGACACACATACATGAGAATGTGTGTTGCTTCTCAACCCGCGCAAACCGAGCCTCTTCACGTGACCTGCCTGTCTGCCGAAGACCCTGTGCCATTCACCGCGGTCCTCAATCAATGAACTGTGCTGTAACGCAGTGGGGACCTGTCTGTAGAGGTCCAGGAATCTTCCTGACCCACTTACCGTTCTTGCTGTCTCCTTTCAGCCAGCTGTCCCTCAGGGTGCTCTGTGCAGCTGCCAGAGTCCACGGGATGTCCAGAGTCCTTAAACCAATAAGCTTCCCTCCGAGTCAACACCATGTCTGTGGTCACCAGCCCTGGCGCCATGGGCCCCCCTGCAATAGGACCTAATCACCTGATTGTAACTGCTTATTCAATTGTCTCTCCAGCCAGGCTGTGAGCTCCGGGTCAGCAAGGATGGTGTCTCTTAGCATCCCCAGCACTCCTGCAGGACTCTGCACACAGTAACAGTCACTCAATACTTAAACTAGCGAAGGGCTCCGAGGTTGCTCCAATCGCACTGTATATGTATGTGGCTGCTTCCCAAAGCCAGACTTCTTACGTTCATCACCTTCTTCACATCTGTCTAGTGCAGACTTCTGTTCTCAAAACCTAAAGGTTATCAGAGGTGGAGTTTTCCTTAATTTAAGTCTTTAACTACACAGGTACTGAGCATTCCCCAGGCACTGTCGGCTGCTAAGGAAGACAAGGAAAAGCAAGACCACGCCTGCTCTTAGCAGGCTCAGGGAAATGTGGACGACACAGACGCGAACTATGACGGAAACCAGAATACAGGGAATACAAACCACAGCCACTGTTGCCAGCTGAACGGTGACCCCCAAAAGATACGTTCTAATCCTAATTCCCAGCGACTATGAGGCTGACGTTTGGAAACAGGGTCTTTGCAGATGTGATCAAGTTAAGATATGCTGAACTAGGGTGGGCCCTAAATCCAAGCACTGGCGTCCCTATGAGAAGAGGGAACTTTGGAGACAGAGACACAGACACACAGAGGGAAGGTGGCCATGTGAAGACAGAGGCAGAGACTGGAGTCACGCAGCTGCAACGAAATGATGGCCAAGATTGCGAGGAAACCACCAGAAGCTAGGAAGAAGCAAGGATGGAATATTCCTCCCCGAGCCTTCAGAGGGAACATGGTCCCACAGACATCTTGATTTCAGACTTGCAGGCTCCAGAGGGCAAAAGAATAAATTTCTGGTGTTTTAAGCCACGCAGTTTGTGGTCATCTGTTACGCAGCCCTGGGAAACTAGCACACCCAACAACATCTGCAGCACATGGAGTGTGTCGGGCACCACTCTAAGTGCTTTCCGCATGCTCATTCACTTAAACGTCATGGCCACCCTGTGAGATGGATGATTACTGCCTCCGTTGACAGTCGAGGAAACTGAGGTGCAGAGAAGCTAGGTCACTTGTCCAAGGTTTCCCAGCTCTCAGCGGCTCCAAGGTCTACTGCGTGAGCCCACCTGCCCTCCTCTGAGGCTGGCATGAGCCCAGCACAAGGATCAGATGGATCAGCACATTTCTAGACAGGAACACATGCTGTCCCTCCACCTGCCCTGCTGGGCAAACATCACCCGGCTCCTGGAGACCAGAGCAGGATCCCAAAGTTGTGCAGTGTGGCAGAGCTGCCAGGACAGTCAGAATGTCCGTTCTTGTTTCTTCTTTTTTAATCAGCGCAGAAATTAGCAAACCTTGTGTGAATCATCCTGTTTTTCCATAGACCTTCTGCTACAAGTCTGTACCAGGCAGAGAGAAAACAGAATTCAACCAATCGGGGCAGGTTTCCTGAGGGAAGAGTGAGTTCAGCAGAGGCTCTGAGATCCAGGCCGGGGCCCTTGATAATTCATAGCTTGTTTTCTCTACAGTTCTGACGGTCACGCAAGGAGAGGCGCTTGGAAAGGGAGCAAGTGTGACCTGGAGCTGGAGGACGAGCCAGAACCAAGGGCAGCTTGGAGAAGCTTCTCTTTCGCCTCCAACTAACAAGTACCTGAGGATGAGTGTTTGATAACAGAGGGTGAGAAAAAGAGGATCGAGGGAATAACTATCCACGGGTAGAAAGGGGCACCATCTAGAACGTTTCTCTGTCCTCTGCTTTATCTGGTCATGCTTCATGCCCAGACGTCCGGCTGATTCTTAGTGGCATCTTCTCCCCGGCCCTCCTCCTCCTCTGCAGGAAGGCCGCGCTGCCAGCTAACGCGGAGCCTTGGCTGAGAAGACCAGCAGCCCGTGGGCAGAGGGGCCTCCTTTCCCACAGCATCAGATCCAGCACAGGGCTCCACACTGGCTGGTGCTGGGAGCTGAGGCTGGAAACGGGCCTCCTTCCCTTCAGCTAATCAACATCCTCCTGCGTGTGGCTCCCACTCTCCCCTGAGCTGCTGCCCTCCTTCCTCACCTCCCCTGGAGCAGCTCCCACCTCAAGGCTCCGACACAACGTTCACAATGGGGTTGGCAATGAAGGCTGCATGGAGCCCCAGGTCTTAAGGATGCTTTCCTGAGAGGGTCTCGCCTGACAGCTTTCTAACCACTGACCCCTCTGTGGCCCCCTCACACAGGTGATGGCTTTCGCTGTTCTCTCTGAGCTGGCTTTTGAGGGCCTGTCTCGTAGGGTGTCTCCCCAGCACCCCCATGGCTGGTCCTCCCACCTTCCTTCAGAGATTTCTCTTCCTCTGAAGGCCCCTAAGTGTCCAATGTCCCCATTGTCTGCCCTTGCCCTTCTGCTCTCGTTGATTGGGGCGTTCTCCTTAGGGGGCCTGGCCACAGCCAGGCCACCCCCAGGAATGGGGCTAAGCACCACCTAGTCTCTGCTGATGCCCAAACCCTTGTCTCTGTGGCAGCCCTCTGTCCCTGCAACACCATGTTCACATCACAGCTGCTTCCCACACCCACTGAGGATGGCCCACGGCCACCTCAAGTCCAACACGCCGGCCTCATCTTCCCTGACCCGAGCCGGCCGCACACTCCTACATCCCCATCCTAGCGGAGGGCACAGCCCAGAAATCACTCATCCTAGCTGCCTCCTCTCCCCCCAACCAGTCAGTTCTCCAGTTGAAACTAAAAACTTCTTCTAGAAAGCAGTGTTTCTCAATCTCGGCACTGCTGACACTTGGGGCTGGATCATTTTTTGCTGTGGGGACATCCTGTGCATCATAGATGGTCAGCAGACCCCAGCCTCCACCCAGCAGATGCCAGCAGCACCCCCAACCCCAGCTGTGACCACCAGAAATGTCTGCAGACACTGCCAAATGTCCCCTGGTGACACCACTGCTGGAAAGGTCCAGACAGTGGTTATTTTAGGTTTGTGGACTATTGGGCCTCTGTTGCAACTGCTCATCTCTGCCTTTCAAAGGCAAAGACAGCCACAGACACAGCTGGGTTCCACTTAAACCTTATTTACAAAAACAGGGTGCACACAGCACGTGGTCCACTTGGGCCTGAGGCCACACTGTGCTGGCCCCGGTGTGAGACTCTATCTGCTCCCTCGCCAGCTCCCTCTCCACCCCCGCCTCTGCCTTCCTTCAGGCATCCCCACGTCACCTGGACACCCCACCCCCAAACTGCCTGCAATCTGGCCCCCTACTCGATTTCTCAGGTATGGTCCACCCTGACCCTAGAAAACTGGAAATCATTTTAATTCTAACTAGGAAGATAACGCCTGTCGCATGGGTCAGGCCCTGTGCCAAACGCTTTATCATCTAATTTAAATCTCCAAAGCAGGTTCAATTAGTAGAGATAATGAAATACATCTGGAAAACCAACTTGTCCCCAGACATGCAGATACTGTGTGGTACCCTAAACCTTCATCTTAACCTCAACTCCACACGGGCCACTTGCTGCTGTCACTGTGGCCCCGCCCGGCCCCCTCCTCCATGACCTCCCTCCACCAGCCCCCTTTGAACCCACGGGCAGAGCCACAGGATGGAGGGGTGCGCTGGAGGCCACGGCAGCACAGACTAACACTCCCATCCGTGGATAGGCTCATGCTACATATGGACGCTGGCCCAGCAGAAATCAGGCCAGGGGGCCCCAGGTGGCAACGTGGAGTGAGGTGGGCCCTGAGTCCAGAGGCAGTGGATCTGAGGATCCTGCAGTCCTGGCTGCCTTCATTCCGCTGGTTTCCTTTCTGGAATGTTTTTGTATCACAGTTAAAAATGCATTG